AGGACAGCCCCTTTCAGGCTGGGGCTGACACTCCTGCCCCACCTAGCCATGCACCCCCTGGCCAGGCCCCTCTCTACCTGGGGCACTCCCATCGCCCACAGCTCTGCAGCTGAGCCCTGCACTCCACAGACCCTCTCTCTCTCCCAAGACCTCCCACTCCAAGCCCCCTACAACATGGCAGCCTCCCATGCTCTAGAGTCCACACCACAGAGCATCCACAGCCTAAGGCTTCCGAATCCTGGAAGGTTGGATCTAGACAGGGCCTCAAGAAGTCTTATTATACATACAGGGAAACCTACGCCTAGAGGAGGGGAAAGATGGACCCGAGATGGTGGTAGACTGGGGACCACCACCTCCCTCTCCCCCATGTAGTCCCACCCGCTTCCCCCACTGCAAGGCTCCTCCCACTGTACCAGCTGCCTTAGCAGGAGAAGGAAGGACAGAGCTCTGGGGTTCAGGGAAGATGGAAACCCAGAGGAAGGGGCCTGCTGGGGCCAACTCTTAGCGTTTGACTAAGGACAGTGTGACTATGCCCTGCCCCCAACCTCCCCGGACCTACAAGCTCAGCCCAGATCAGTGGAGGTCAGAGTGGGCAACTGTGTAACCCACCTCTCTCCCAGCACAGAGTAACAGAGCTACTATTTATTGAGCACTTACTAAGTGCCAGGTGCCATGCTAAAAGTCACGATTCTCTGCAGTACTTATTGAATATTATATCCCCATCTAGCAGATGATCAGAAAGAGGGTCAGAGAGGTGAATCAGCAGGCCTACGGTCACATCGCAAAACTGGTAAGAGAGTGGAGGAGGAGAGGCCTTAGAGAAAAATGTTTAAGTTCAAAGGCATCTCAGAGTTCCTCCTCACTGCCTGGGCTTCAAACCCAGATCTGTCTCTGTTCCCTCGGGGCTCTCAGACGAGATGTAGTGAGACACCAGGACACGGGTCGGGGGTCCACACTCACGCTTATCCACCCAGCAGCTATCTCAAAGGTATCAGGGCTAGAGAGATGGGCTGGAGGACAGGCACACCACACCAAGGAAGACCAGCTCCTCTCCTGGCCCAAAGAACCTCTCATCATGAGCCCAGCAGATGCCTCTGTCCCACGACCACCTGGTGTCAGAGAGGACACGTGGGCTTGGGATCATCAGACCTGGGACTGTTCCCTTCTCTGTGTGACCTGGGGCCTCAGTTTCCTCATCTGTAAAATGGAGATACCTAGCTAGTAGGGTCAATGGAAGGAATAGACAGAGGTTGTGAAAAGGGCCCCGTGCAAGTGATAACTAGATGCCGCAGGCTGCTGGGCTTGCACTGTGAGCTCTCCCCCATCCTGGGCCCGCACGCGGAGCAAGTTTTACCGCAGAAGGAAGCAGCAGGGAAGCGCGGCCTGCACAGAGCCTCCTGGAATGTGGCAAGTCTCCTTGGCGCCGAACCTGACTGTGAACCCTTCTTTAATTAGTTCTCAACTAAAAATAGCTCCCCCACCACCCGGGCCGCACACCTACCTCCTGGCCTGGCACTGGGGTGTGCCTGAGCTACTCTTGGGGGTGACAGCCAGCCTGTGACAGAACCTACAACACGGAGGGTGCACAGAGCAGGAGGCTTTATTGAGGGAGATACAGAAGCGGGCGTGGGCTCCCGCGCCAACCAGGCCGCGGCCTCCACTCGCCCCACACGGCCCTGCGGCTCCTGCACACCCCTCCCTCCCCGGCTCCTGGACAGCAGGCAACACAGAGGAGTCTTACCCAGCCTTGGCAGAGGTGCCCGGAGGGCCTTCAGAGTCTGTCCAGGGGAGGGTTGGGGGGACACAGGACAGCCCTTCTGTGCTATCGATGACATGCCTGCCACACCTATCGGTCTGTCCACCGCCTGGTCCATCTGCCTGGGGGGCCCTCCTGTCACTTGCAACTCTGGAGCCGGGTCCTGTGGTGCTTCTCCTCGGTCAGGAGGGGGATGAAGGTGTCGCTGTGGGAGAGCTTCAGCCGGCTGCTGCAGCTCGGCGCCTCCTTCCCTGCAGGCTCCGGAGGGAGGTTGTCCAGGTCACTGCGGGAGCCCCCGGTCTTGCCCTCAGCCCCGCTGCTGGAGTTGAGTTCCATCAGCTCCAGCTCGTGCTTGGCCGCCGTCTCCAGGACGCGCTGCTTGTTGTAGTACCTGACGAAGTTGTTGATGATGGGGTGGATGGGCAGGGCGATGGCGATGACGCCACACAAGAAGCTGATGGCTGCGTTGAGCTTGCCCAGCGTGGTCTTGGGGTAGATGTCGCCGTAGCCGACGGTGGTCATGGTGATGATGGCCCACCAGAAGGACTGGGGGATGCTCTTAAACAGGGTCTCTGGGTGGCTCTGCTCCATGGTGTAGCCCAGGGCAGAGAAGACGAAGATGCCCACTGCCAGGTACATGAGCAGCAGCCCCAGTTCCTTGAAGCTGCGCTTGAGGGCATAGGTGAGGGTCTGCAGGCCCGAGGAGTGGCGGGCCAGCTTGAAGATGCGCGCGATGCGCATGATCCGCAGCGCCTGCACGGCCTGCTGCACGTTGGTCAGTTCCATCATGCGGGCACCCAGGTGCGTGAGCGTGAGGCTCACATAGAAGGGGAGGATGGCCAGCACGTCCACGATATTCATGAAGGACAGCGCGAAGTGCAGCTTATTGGGCGACGAGAAGAGGCGCAGCAGGTACTCCAGGGTGAACCAGCCGATGCATGCCGTCTCCACGTTCTCCAGCGTTGGGTGCTCCACGCGGTTGCCCTCGGCGTCCAGCACCTGCAGCTCGGGGATGGTGCCCATACACATGACCACAGACGAGACGAGGATGAGCAGGAAGGAGAGCACGGCCACCACTCTCGCCGGGCACGACGACTCAGGCTTCTCCAGGAACTTCCAGACGCACTTCTGGCAGCGGCGCCAGCGGCCCTCAGCCGCGTCCACGCCCAGGTCGTCCAAGATGAGCTGCACGCGGCGCGCGATCTCCTCCAGTTCCTCGCGCTTCTCGCTCAGGTGGCTCTTGCAACAGTCGTCCAGGAACTTGAGATCCACCTTCCAGAAGTCCATCTCGTTCTTGAAGCAGATGGGGCAGATGCCCTTCTTCATGTGGACCTCCCC